ACAAGGTTGCCTCACCCCTTGGTACATATAATATGCTAGTAGGGATGCTCCCTATCCCATGTTGGTTTCAACCTCACTTACCAGAAAAAATTAGCTTTATAATAATGATATATGTTATATTGTCTTACTTTTTACTTGTTTTTATAGTCTATTCTTGGAGTTACTATATCATTAAATTTGTTCTAGAGTGTGTTTAGTCTTACAGAGTTTGGTTGTTTGTATCTTATTGTGGGCATTGTTGTGGATTTCTCTCAATTCAATTAAATGTTTATTTGTAGCTTGGAAAGAGTTCCATGTGGGTTTTTCTAAGAGAGGTGTGATCATTTATTCTTTATCATTGTGTGATCCTTATAGTTGATATATAATAATAAAATATTTAAAAAATTTAATGTTGTTAGTGGAATAATACATTCATTTACTTAAAGTAAGGTTGACTACATGGGTAAAAGTAATTTGTCATGCGTTATCTTTGTTTCCACTAAATACTATATTTACTATTCTATTACTGATGTCTCACTCCCTAGAGTTAGAATTTGCATGACCAGTATCTACGTTAATGTCCCATCACTTGTACTTGAAAAGTTAGCATTGATGGATCAATTACTGGTAAGTCTTGCCTTGCACGGATTTCAGCATGTTAAGAGATTAAAATGGTTCCATGAGATGTTTAAATAAAAAGCATTAGCATATCCAATCTTAATCTTGTTGAGCTGATTAGCAATTAAAGAAGTTTCTATGCAAATATTTTTCTTCAAAAATAATGTGATGTCGATTGCTAAATAGGTAGTTAAAGATAAAGTATCATGAAAATAGAATAATTTAAAGAATAAAATTAAAAATCTATTGTCACTAATTTTCATTAAAGATATATATCTACAAACACAACCTAATTTGTATATAATCCAAGAAACACCAATGACAACATTATGTATAGAGATAACAAAAACTATTAATTTTATTAGTTAATTATTGGGTAGTTTTGATATTTACAATTTTTCTAACGAAAACATTTTTCGAGTTGTTTATCCAATTTTTTATTTAAGTTAAAATTTAATTGTATTTTCACATAATTGTAAAATAATCACTAGCTCAAAAGAAAAAATTACAGATAAATCAATGTTTGTAAAGATTTCATTATAAGAATATATGACAAGACTCAGAGTCAATAATTAGCTCCATTGTTGTGCATCATGCTAACAACATAAAGGAATAATTTTGTCAATTGTTTGGCAAAGTTGGGCTTGGAAAGTGATGGTAAGTTGGCGGCATGGATGTAAGATGGTGTTGATTGTCGTTTTAGAATCGGTTTCCTTAACTAAGTGCCCGTCTGGTTGATTACAAACAATTCCATGATTAAGATTACTGACTTGTAACATGATATA